GGCTGGTTGATACGAATTCCGCATCCAGATTGCACCGACCACAGTGCTGACGTAAAATATCCTCAGTGGATCATGGGTTAGAATCCCCTTGCCATTAGGCAAACGGTGGGAGGTTCTCGTGGTCTTCCTCTCCATGTAACGCAAATGGGGGTTAGTTACATCAAAAAGTCCTCCACTAAGTCAAATTCCCCCCAATACTCGATCCAGGAGTTCCCTTGTCTTCTGGATTGGGTTCAAAATTACAGTCTTCTGGATTGGGTTCAAAATTACAAGGCAACGGAGTTGAACATTAGTAGTCGAAAACCCAAAAAAATGGGTTTGTTGTTCAACGACGGTTATGAAATAAAATATGAAATACTTTTAAAGGAGCCGTGGTGGCTCAGGGGATAGAGCATTCGCTTTCCAATAAGGTGAACCGGGTTCGAATCCCAGCTATACGAATTTCGTAATACGAATAAGAAGTGAATTCCGCACCCGGATTACGCTTTAAGATACGAATTCCGCACCCGACCCCCACCAACCACACTGCTGGCTTAAAATATCCTCAGTGGTAGACGGATTATGCTTTAGAGCCCTCTTGCCGTCAGACTAACCTCGGAAGGTTTTCGTGGTTTTCCACTTTATGCAACGCAAATGTGGGTTAGTTCCATAGAAAGTCCTCCTCGAAGGCGAATTTCTCTCAATTCTTGATCCAGGAGTTCCCTTGTCTTCTGGATTACGCTCAAAATTGCAGGGGTGCGGGGTTGAAAATTAGTTGTATAAAGGACACAATTTTGAATTTTCGAAATAGCGAAATAAGTTATGCTTCTCAACTTCAACAAGTTATGCTTCTCAACTTCAACAAGCTATGCTTCTCAACTTCAACAAGTTATGCTTCTCAGCTTATCGTGAGAACGGTCCCCGGTGGCCGAAAACTCCCCGTGTAATAAGTGATACACGTTAAATCTGTGGTGTCACAAAATCTTCCATGTTCTTATAACAAATCATACCTCTGGTTGTACTGATCCAGGAGTTTCCTTGTCTTCAGGATTGAGTTCAAAATCACAAGGCTACGGAGTTAAACATTAGTAGTCGTGAACCCAAAATTGGGTCGACTGTTCAGCGATAGTTGTAAAATACTTTTAAAGAAACAAAACATTGTCATCCACCTCATTAAAAATGACGCGTCAAAAATAAAGATTTTACGCAGTGAAATGTTTTTAACCGAAAGAATAAGATATAACCTGGCAATTCGGGGTTGTTTTAAGATAGAAAGCCGGACAAAGTTGTTGAGAAATATTTTGAGGTATGTTGAGTCTATACTTCAGCTCCATAACCTATCTCTAAAGAACAAGTTTCGTGAGAAATAAAGAATTACTTTACCTGTATCAAATAAGGCTTGTCAAAACAAGGTGTGTTGCAACGTAACTGAAACTATGCAGTTGAAGTTAAGAGGGGCTCTTTTAATTTTAAAGGGCCGAGATAGCCTGGTCGGTAGGGCGCTGGGCCATAACCACCTAGAGTTCTAGTAGATTATGGCTGGGCCCATGAACGAGAGTTCGTGGGTTCGAACCCCGCCGGCCGAAGAATCCCCATGTAGTGAATGGTGAATGATGCATGTTAAATCTGTCGAGTCTCAAAGTTCTCCATGTTCGCATAACAAATCAATACCTCTGGGGGTACTGGATTGGAGATCGATCGTTCTCTGATTCTGGTCAAAATTATGATCTGTGGATAAATGATTGAATGGATGTATGAATGACTCCACCCTGTAAACGGGTGTGACGTATGGGTGTGGCAGAAGTCGCATTCTGGGCCATAGATGGCGCCACTGGAAAACAAGAACTAGCATCCCTTGCCTTAATGGCTTACGACAGCAACAACATTATTGAAGATTATATAGAAAAGATTATGTAATTCAAATTTTCTACTTTTTGTTGACCTAATCGAATATTTAAAAATATTTATTTATCCCAATGGGACGATTTTCCTTTGTTGGATTTTAGTTCAAGTCAAGTAGAATTTTAATATTTATTTTTCAGAGTAATTTAGTTCGATCTGTTAAAAAACACGACATATCATTTACAAAGTTCTCGATTAAAGATTGAAATTTACTCACTGTTACATAAAGTGATATAATAAATGTTCAAGTTATTTATGAATATTAAAGTTATATGTTAAGTTATATAGTAATTTATTCAAGATAAGTAGAATGCGTAAACGTAGTAGGAGCTAAGGAAAAGACATAACAACTAGCCAAGAACGCATTCATTAAACATAATAAAAAAGGAAGAAAACAAAAAGAACTGTATAAAAAAAACATTTACGACGAAGTGTGAGCTTGATTATTATTAAAAACTAAATATTCTCATACAACCAAATCCTTTTGTTTTTTTCCTTTTTCAATTTCTAAATGTCGCCAAATTTTGAAATTGATTTATGTGACATTTGTGTTATTTTAGGAACACTTCCAAAAATATAACTGTTACTTTAAATAACACTCATTTCCAATTTTGGAATGCATGGAAAGTTAAAAGTAATCCAATTTGTCAAATGCAGCCGTCGCTCGCCACTTTAAGCATCGTTATTTATCAGCGTAAAAATGAACTAAAAACATAACAACACTCCTCTTTAGATAACAGTTCTGTTAAGTGCTTTCAATCCCATTAAAAATGATGGTTTAAAACAGGAGCCATGTTAAGTGTCTCCTTTTTTTTCCTTCATCTTTTCGAATTATTTGCAAAAAATTTTTTTTTATTAATTTGCCATTTTTTCCTTTCATACGTTTATTCTATTTATCAGTACAAAATTTAATGTAACAAACGCGTAAATGTGGGGAAAAATTGACAGACATTTTCTACAAAAAATGAGGTTACTTTTTAACAGGATGAAAACTTGATTCTTATTTTATAACCCTTTCATTCAATGGTAAGTAATTTTTGTATTTAGAGTATTGAGTTGTATAGTCTTATAACTCCTTGGGGAAAATGGGTGTTGTTCTCTGTTTTTCCTGTCCCCACATTTTCCCCCAGATAAACTTCACAACAAAATAATAACAAGCTAAAGTCATAAAAAATCAGGCTTGCATAAGCATTCATGAAAAAGCAGCTTAACAAAAATAAATAAAAATGAGCAGACGATAATTTTGGAACTTTTTGGAGTTGATTGTTTTCCAGACTGAGTTTTTTCTTTTGATTTCTACCTGCTTGTTTTTATAAATAATATTAACTTAAAGTGTTTTTGAATTATTTTTATGGTCAACTTACTGTCTTGCGGCGATTTTAATACAAACATGAATACTGAAGAAGGACATGAATTTTTTTTACCTCTTAAGAAGGGCTAGAATGGAAAACAAATCCAACCCATTAGGTGGCCAGAGATGAACTGTTACAGTTTTTGCAACCCACGACTTGAAAGTTTTTAGCGTTTGTTATAGTTTATCTTGAGAAAAAAAATGACCAATGGGTAAGCAGTTATCGCAATAATATGATCATATTTTTATTTCTCTTGTATACTCTTACATTAAAAGTGTTTTCTTTCATGCAGAAGTAAACTTAAGAACAATATTAAATGTGAAATTTATCAATGAATTTATTAACACAAAAAATCGTCTGCCAGTTACAAAGAACCGAAGTTTCTAAATATTTCCACTGCTTATTATTTCTTTATTATTATTTTGTTATTTTTTCTCTCATTATCAGAAAACATATTGGGTGCTTGAAAAACAACTTTGATCTTCTGGAAAGCAAGTTATTTTGGAAGAATGAAGTCAAATTTTATTTAAGGGTTTTATAGTTTTACGATCAAGAGTAGTGTTTAAATCTGTTATTCTAAATTCATGGCTACGGTTGCAGTAGCGGAATTTCTTATTTTACAAATAGCAACATTCAATTCTTCGATATAAAACATGATTTGTACAGCAAAAGAAACTTAAATAAGATTGCAACGGATATTTTTACAACCAGTAATGGTCATGCTCAACTTAGAGCAAGATGCAGGACATAAATATCGGCGCTTTCTTCTTGTTTTCCATTGTCGTCAGTCAATGTTATTTTCCTTGATATCTTCCATTAGATTAGTCAGTAAAACTGAATAACTTTCACGTCAAAGATGGTCAAAAAAAAATTCTTCAATTCCGTCAAAGGTCACGTCCATTTGTGCCAAGAATACAGTTCATTATTTTAATCATTAATTACTATTTTAAGTTTTTTATTATAGAAGTCACGTTTCGATAAAATAAAAAAAAGGTTGGTCCTTCTGTATTATGAATTTGAAAAATTCATAATATTTTTAGTATAATCGTAACTGTGGAAGCTGGATAATTGTTTTTGAACTCATACTTAATCATACTATTACATGAAATTTCATTCCTTTCTAAAGAACTTAAGCGGTGTCTACCGTTAAGGCAGTCATAAAATACTTGACTTGGTCGGTTTGAATTACTTTAGGGAAACCCATGCGACTAAAATCAACAATAGAGCATTCACAACTGATTTAGAAGTTAAATTTGATATTGGGATAGCATCAGGGTATTTCGATGACAAACACATTGCCGTAATAAGATACTTATTGCCCTGTGTAGAGGTAGGCAGTGGCCCACATGCGTCAACATTTATATTACTAAAAACTTCTGATTTTATGGGTGCGGTCATCAACGGCGCTTTCTTTTTGGGCAAATGGCCTTACCTACACGCTGACAAGCATCACACGATTTAACATATTCTTTGATATCTTTATAACAATTTGGCCAGCAAAAATGCCTCCCCAAATTGCCCTTCGTTTTATTTATCCCTAGATGACAAGAAGTGTCTTCCTTTAACCTTCGTTTAAACTTCCTTTCCGTGGCTCATTCTTTTAACCTGCTCCCTAAGTGTTTCAGGTACAACGATCAGATTTTTTTCGAATACCAATTTATCTACATTTTTTCTCTCACTAAAACCCCACTAATTATTTTAAAATCAGTTTGATTACTCTCATACTTACTTAACTCAAATAATGGTACTGTTCTTCAATAAAAGTACTAGAGTCTATTTTAATAATATCTAGAATAGAATCATTTTTATCTGATTGAGGTAGAACATCAATAATCTGTGAGTTACTCCCTATCTCATCCTCTTCAATATCAACTTCTTCCTCTTCGACGTCTAACTTCGTGTCGTCGAAATTTTCCTGATTTTTAATCTGCTATCTTTGAGACCTTGTAATAACGACATTTACAGTTTCAATTTTTGAACCACCATTTGTCCCAGATTGTTCAAAAAGAGGCGCAGTTTCGTTTCCTAAAAGATAACATCCCTGATCTAAGTCATTTCCGACAACTACAGCTTTAGTTGTTATTATACCCAAATCACACTCTACATCAATTTTAGCAACAAGTAAACATATCATATGGTTATCAAAAATATGTTTAACCCAAACGTGTTCTCCTGTCATTCTATCCCTACTGACATATTTCTGACAAACATCATCAACAGTTGCTCCTGTATCCCTGAGAATGGGCATCTTGAATCCATTTATTTCACCCTCAAAAGCGAATGGATCTAATAAGTTCTTTTCCGTTATTGTTTCTATCCTATTTGCCTCAGATTTCGGAATTCTAAGGTTAGTGCTAAAAACAGAATACCATTTTCCTTGCCGGAGGACATACTAGATGGCGCCACTGGATATAGAACTCTCGCTGAGAACAACAATTTTTTGAGAGCTTTGGTGTGTTACTGCCGAGCGAGAGACCATGTTGTTTTTTTATGTAGTGTTCTTTCGTTAATATACACATGTTAACTAATTCGAAGGAATATTTTTTCTTGAGTATGTGGTCATTACTTTTAAGATTTATTTAGATACGAACCGACCCGGATAGAAGAATCAAGTAAGAAACCTTTTATTGATACCTGTTCTATTGAAGTAGAAAAAGAATTAAGTTTTCTTTTTTGACAGTTAGGACGGGGCCGGAGATGCTCCATAGAACAACATTCGTAACATCTCAACTTCCTTTCTTGGTCAAAAGAAATCTCTGATTATCTTGCAGAATTACACGTTTCATTATTTTTCCTCCAATAGAAATTTTTATCTTTGTATTTATAATCCCCGAAATTATTATTTCTTTAAGACTTATTCATTGTTTTGTTTTTAGGATCGCTAGGTTTAGATTTCCCATTAATGGCTTCCTTGGCATCCTGAAATTCCACAATCTTTGTCACCAATTCTTTAGGTGACTTTATAGAAGCCCACTCTTCAAGAGAGTGTTCTTTAAATTCAATCGAAACCCATCTTTTAATCTTTTTTTAGTCTTAGAGCTGTTGAAAAATTTCAATTTTAAGGCCTGCAAGCAACACCCATCCTGATAAGCGCTTAATTTGTGATAGAAATCATATCACGTAGAATAAAAATCATACCACGTACGTCATATAAAAGAAATTAATTCTCTTCTCATTAACAAAGCTCAAAAATGATTTCGTCATAAATACAATTCTACTGCATAAATAATTCAAGTTGGCAATCGGCTACTCATAGCATTAACAGTCTTATTTCCCCCTCGCAAATGAACAAAGGAAAAGAAAAGCAAAAATGAATTCTCATATATTTTTGCTGCCGCCAAAAAGACTGACGTATCAAAGAGTTTATATTTCTTTTTCTTAATTCCAAAATGAGTTTCACTTTACAATATTTAAAAGCACTCAAACTGAAACAACATACACCTTTGCATACCTATTTGTATATATATCGGGGATATTTCCGTATCGTGATCTGTCGCGCCAACTACAATCGCCTAGGTGCCAAATAGATTTAAAACTTGCTAACTTTTTTTAACAAAAACATGCAGATGTTTGCCCGGGGGTGACTACGAGTTATACCTTTCGAATTAGTCCCTTTCTATGATGTTTTTTTTTTCCTGCGGGCCACTGCCCGGAAGTTTCCAAGACTTGGCGATTACCAATGTGAGCCTAATATCAATAACAATAAAATAAATCTTCACAAGATGAAAACCAAATTTCTTTAGAAACATTTCATATAAAGCAATATCAAACAAATATATATGGAACTGACGTTCTTAATCACTTTCTTCCCACATATAAACAGTTCAAATCCACATCTCTTTATATCAATGAAAATCACTATCATCATTAAAATACCATTTCAAAACAAATATCATATTAAAGCAAAAATTCTGCAGTTGAGAATACCAAGATATTATTCATTCTTATGATAAAAATAATAACTCAACCAATATTCATGAAATATAAACATACATTCACAATACATTCCCTTTCCTGCAACACTGCCATGTTAAATTTTTTTCAGGATGAAAAATTTATTTTCATCGAAAATATAATTATGGCCTCGGAAATTTTGTGGGCCTTGGGCCTGAATTTGACTTGATCGGTCACTGGTTTCCTCCCCTCTTTTCTGCAGCAGCATCCCTGTGCTCTTCACTTAAAAATATAAATTTTATATCTTAGTCCCCTAAACCTGGTGAAATTTTTCTTTTTCTCTCACAGCATGTGAACTTTTTAATGCCTCTTGGACGGAAATTCATTAGCGTTCATCTTTTTGACCTTGTTCCCTTTTCACGCGGGAGTGTCGTGGTCAAGTGTTATTTTTACTATCTCTTGTTAATTTCTTCTTTCAACCAATAATTTCTTAGGGGGTTCGGCGTGAACTGTCCACCTTTTTTTCCATTAGCCATTCTGGTACCATTTTCTTCCTTTTGTCCCTCATTGGTTATTTACCAGTGACCCCGAGTTTTCTTAAGGCGCTATTTTTTAGATATATTTCTCTTAATTTATGACCCAATGAACCCATTGGGTTATTCGGAATTTATTATCAATGCTTTTACAACCACTGATCGGCTAATTTAAATGTAACTTAAAGATCAATATGTAACTCTGTTAGGTGATTTAATCATTAATTTGCGTTCCATCCCTCATGCATTCCTGCGAGTTTATCTTGCCTTATACTCAATCTGTTTTTGTTATTTCCAAAAATTTCACATGTTTAAATTCAATTGTCTCACCCTATTTATAGAATATTAAACAATAATTTTTTACAAGTCATATTAAACTTAACATTTGTTTACATTAATCATACATTTCTGTTTTTCCTTAATTATTCATATCGCCGGTTAGTTTGTATCATGTGGATGATTTAAAAAAGAAAGATTTTAAAAAATAAGTCCATCTATCAAAGATACCTTTCCAAACTTTTAATCACTTTATTTTCATTAAACTGCATTCATCAATTTATTGCCAGTGTTATTTTGCACTGACATTATCCGCTTACACAACTGCTTCAAAGAAATAAGACAAATTGCTTCTACCATTTAAACGTAGGAAAACAAAACCATGTGACGACCCAATTTAAAGACCTATTCAATAATTCCTAGCCACCAATTGACGTCTGATTTTACCTCGTCTAGATGCGAATCATGTTTCTTTCTTATAGGAGGGGGGAAAAACTAAGAAATATTCCCTCCCTTCTTTTTTTTAGGAGTAAAGTTTTCTGGTTGAAAGGGAAATCACGGTGATCGTGTTTCGCTTTACACTTTGTAGGTTTTCTCTTTTTTTTCCTCTTCCGTTGAGTTACCTTTTTTATTCTATGTACCCACATGCACTTCTATTTATTTTTTATAATTAGATTTAATGGTTTTCTTGATTAAAGAAAGAGAGAGAGGAATTAAGAATTGTTGTCTATTAGTGATATAGAAGTAAAGTTTTTAAAACTGAAAAGTTTATGATAAATATTGCATTTGCTGAGTATTAAAACTTGTTGTAATCATCGTTTACAAAATAAATGAGTTAAAAATAATAATCAATAATAAATAAGTTAAAAATATTGTTGTAAATAATAATTTTTATCAGTTTATTTAATAAAAATTGAAAAATTTTGAATTGAATACATATTTTATATCATATTTAACTTTAAATTTAAAAATACAAATATTGTACAAAATCGTTCGAATAGTTCAGTCATCAAATTATGTTTTTAAAAAAAATTATATAGTTTAAATTCGATTTATCGAAAGCAATTCGACTTATGTTGTTCAAATTTTCACTATTTGTCATTTGTAATTGCATTAAAATTGATGATAAAATTTGCAAATCTTATTTTTTTTAAAAATATTTTTGACTATTAATTACATTAATAAAAAAATTTAATTAATTATTAAATATTATTATTTTATTTGGAATTATCTCTGGATTAACTGACTTTAGTAATCGTGAGCAAAAAAATTTTCGATTCACTCAAAAAGTTTTTTAGATATAACGAAAAACGAAAAAATTGAGATTAACAATAAGGGGTCCAAACTTTCAACTACCTAAATTATTGAAACCAGATTGCGGCTACACCCGATTATTCGAATATCGAAAATTTAAATTGATCGACTGTTCTTCTGCACAAACTTCTTCTTCTTCAGCACGACAGCCCCTTGCAGGCCTTGGCTGCCTCAACCACGCGCAGCCTCCAAACCTTCAATCCATGGCGACTTTTTACCAGTTGTTAATCTTTATTACTTTGAGATCTTCAGCAGTGTCATCCAGCCATCTGCTTGGAGGTCTTCCTCTGGCTCTAGATCCAGAAGGATTTTTAAAGGTGAACAAACTTAGATTTTCTAAATTGTGGTTGATCTCCATGTTTCAAATGTCAAGAATTCCCCGAGAGAAAAAAAGTATGTTTATTCAAAGAAAGTGGGTCTTGTGTCTGACTTTGACTTAAATATCGTCACCCCTTAATTAAATATCATATTTAAGGCTATGCTCTCAAACCATTAAAATTGAGTCTTGAAACGCGAAAATCCGATCATTAGACCAAAAGCCATCATTCAAAAGTGTTGAGTTTTTTTTTCTTACTATATAATACGCTTTACCCAAAATAAATTAACACCTATCGATTCCAAAAAATCTTGCAATTCCTTATCACTCTCCAAGTCTTCGGATGAGTATGACGGTGATTTGTTTCTTCTCTCATTACTATTAGATATGATTAGGGTCTCAGAAGCATGAGAGCAACAATAAGTGTAGAACCTATTTAATGGTTTGCACATTAACAATCTATTGGAATTGCATCGATAAATTTTCATCTGTGATTTATGGCAAGATTTGTGAAAAATATAACTATTTTTCTATCAATTGTTTATCAACACACAATGTTTGGAGAAACTTATGGAAAAGGGGTGTCGTAATCACCTTCCAAATGGAATGAAATGTCCTTTTAGAGGTGATTCGGTGATTTGGACTTCGAAATATTAACTTTAATAAAATTATTTTCAAGAAGTTTTTACAAAAATATTAACTTTTCTAGTCGGGCTTGGGATAGCCTGATCGGTAGGGCGCAGGACCCATGTCCGAGAGTTCGTGGGTTCGAACCCAGCCAGCCGAAGACTCCCCGTGTAGTAAAGTGACTGATGCACGTTAAAACTGTCGAGTCGCAAAAGTCCTCCATGTTCCCAAAAAATCAAACCTCTGGGGGTACTGGCTTGGAGATAGATCGTTCTCTGATTCAGGTCA